GCATCGTCGTTCCTAGGTTAGTGTTGCATGGTTTGCTTACGTCATGACTTCGTCGTACAACTAAAAGCCCATCTCTTGCCAAGGTAACAGTATTTAAATAACGTTACACATCTTTAACATTACTAACCATCTTGGAAGGATGAGTACCCTGCCGAAGATGTGCTAGCACCCTACGAAGGTACTCTGGACACTCTGGCTGAATGGACACCCACGAGGCTCTATTGGCAAAGGGTACCTTTTGGGCTCCGTGCAAGATGTCAGTGACGTCAGTACGGCATACCACAGAGACCATAGATTCACGGACAAAGCTACAAACTTGACATGCAGGACTATCACATTGAGCAGCATTACGACTAGCATATTCTGATGGGAGAATGGCAGCCCCGGCGACAAGAGACCTGGAAGCGGCTTGCAGTGGAAAAGAAAGTGGACAAGCAACTCAAGGAATTCACCTCTGCACAGCTTTTCAAAGGCCAGTATGCATGGTTTACTGTCAGTGAGCACACATGCCTTCTGTGATGACTGAATAATGTATGGGCTGCAATGTTTGAGGGAAGCAGCTATGGCCAGGGCCTCAATATCGCACGGAAGCCAATTAATCAGATCAATCACAGCTGTCAACTCACCACCAGCGACAACATTGTCGAAGGGAGCAAGGATTGACGAGCAACCCTTAAGACGTGCCAGGACTTTACACACACCGATGAAGGACCGTAGGCCACAAATAGACATAGGTGGAGGCACATGAAGCCAATGTTGCAATACGGTGTGAACTAGCATGAACAGTACCCTGATTCCACACCCATCCCAATATATTGGTCTGGACCGGGGCAATGACAGTTTTACAGGGAGCTAAGCACTGATTGCATGCTTGGAGAGCCACTAAGACACTGTTCCACACTGCAAGAAGGCCTTCAAGAGTGTCAACCCCACAATACAAGCCATCAGCAACCTTAGCCACCTGTCCCTGTTGAAGGAGATCGCCAAGTACTCGACAGGTCAGTTCTTCTAATGCCGTTTCTGAACCAGGCATGCCCATGGCACATCTGGCATACACACGGACTCCCTTAAATGGCGTGACGACCCCGCAATATTTCATAGAGGCTTTGGACAGTGGAATTTGGTAGAAGGCCTTGTTGAGGTCAGTGGCGATAATATACCACCACTGAGCAATCTGATGCAACGTTGTGTCCACATTTGGCATAACTGACGGCTGGGGTTTGCTATAACGACCCACGTCTGCGAAAACTGTAACAAGAGGAAACCCCCAATTAGGTTTTTGATAAGAAATGATGGGTTGACATATTCAATATCGACGTCAATGTCCTAGGCTTTCGAAAAACGCCTAGCTCGTCAAATTGAGCCTGCAGTTCCTGTAACTGGCCCCTGGTGTACCGCGGAACCCTTCCCTTCCGTTGCGGTGGTTGGACAGGTCCAATGTTTACCCTCGCCTGGAAGGGGCCAGCAGGCCATTATAGCTCCCAAACTGCAGACTGAGGACCTCATCAAATGCCCTATGATGTCATGAAATTATTATCTGACCTTATCTCATTAGACCCCAATGGTATTATCCATGGTATTAAATGGTAGACATCAGAGACAAGTGTTAAATTTGGTGAACTGGACTTGCAGAAGAGGGGCCTGAGAAGTTTCCATTACGGCTTGTTCGGTTAGGGACTTTGGTACGCAAGTCATGTGGACATGGCATACATGGTCATGTTTCTTAATTCCCTGTGGTACATCAGTCAAATTAAGAATGCTGATTTTTTTCGGATACCCCAATGACCAACGATAGAGCAAACCAGTGTGCACTGCCCAAATGCGGCTCGACAGCAAGCTTGTCACTAATGTTAGCTAGTTTGCTGGAAGCTCAAGTTTGACAAAATCCACCGGCCATACAGTATGTGATGGGGTGGCATGAAGTACTTAAGCTCGCCGAATGGAATGTCTGTCTCCATACGTTTGACTGGCTCCATACTCGTATGTGTCAGACCCCACACAGACCTGGTGTTGAGCAGGGCAGATGGTCATTACATTCCATAAAGATGATGCCAACGAGAATGTCAGAATCCAGGTTTTACCACTTTTTTACCAAGAGCTTGTGGCCATCTCTCTGAAAGTATACATACATGTGTGTATCTCTCCCACTACCTTCAATGGTGAGAAACCATCTGCCTGACGAGCTGACTGCATACTACTGGAGACTTTAAGGCCCAGTCTGCTGGCACAAGCTGCCCTTATCATGTTTCCCGTCGCACCACTGCCAAGTGAGAACAACAAAGTTTTCTATCGTGGGGAGAGTTTCTCATCCTCCACAATGTGTTCACCTCCGTGAGTAATGCCAGAGTCTCTGCGTAGTAAATTATCCTCAACAAAAGCCATTAATCTCTGGTACAAATCCTCTGGTCCTTCATTAGACTCTAGTTTAATAGCAGAAAAATCAATCAAATGTGCACCGGTCGACTGGAATCCATAATGTAGTCTGATTGTCTGCCATATGCTATCAATCCATGTAGAGCTCTTAACAACAGTATTTCGGGAAATACCCAGAGCTGATCTTCCCGACCTCTCACTCGTTTCCTCTACCCTTTATATTCCCAGCTGTGTCTAACAGTGTCTGTCAGAGGATTGTTTTATGTCGTGTGTGCGTTGCTGGTCTGTTTGTATTTGCTGTGCTACTTACCAGTGATCTGTGTTCAGGATTCCTCGACGTACTGATTGGTACAGAACTGTTCACCTGCTGGTCCCTGTCCTCGTCTATTGCTAGACCTTCCTGGATTCTCTCATTCTGACGGTGGTTTCCGGTTCTCTTCAACTCCGCAGTATTGCGGGCTGTTCTCTCTGGAACCGCCAATCAGAGAGGCTTCACTAGGGGAGAGCGGGGCACAACCTAACGCTTTTTGGTTTTGGCTCAATTAATTAAAAAATAATTAGGTTAGATTAATAATTTTTTTACACAAGCAACATACACATCTCTGCTACAAATGAACACTTAAAGTTTTTTTCTAGGACCTACCATTTTCGTACAGTTTCACTGAAAGTGACAGAAGTGCAAATGTTACAACTTACCCCATATGCGGGGTTAATTGTAACAGACAGAGGGGTTAGTTGTAACACTTGTGTGTAACACACATAATTCAGTACAATTTAATTTGTATAGTTTGATATTGTTTGTGCATCTGTATAGACAGATATCCATAAATATCCCTCATCCAATCATCCTTCTATTATGGATCAATATCATGGATAGAGACATAGAAAAGGGCTGCATAGTTTTGCAATAAATAATAATAAATAAAATTATAAATATTGTAATTTCAATTAAATTAGATTTGTGTGTGGCAGCTGCATGAAGTACAATTATTATTATTATTATTAATAACAGTAATGATAATACAAATGAGCTTAAAATAAAAATTTAAAGGGTTTATTGCATTAATAACAGGCCATATTTTTAATAAATAAACAAGTTATCATTCATAGTACACTAAATTTTAAACATTTTAAATCCCAACATTGTTTGTGAAAGTCTAACAAAGTTAAATGTATACTCAAACCTGAAAAGTTGTGTGGCTCCGTTTTCATTTGATTATCATTGTACACTTGACTTGGAGGCTTAGTTGTAACACTCTGTTAGAATTAACCCCGCTGTGTATTACATATTTTAAACCTAGCTAACAGTCGCTAGGAATTGCTGACGTGTTTGAAAACGGTGCTATGTTTGAGCCAACAAGACAGTGATTAAGGCAATATAAAGTTAGATTTGGAAACGTATACACCCAACTCAGAAACCGAAAAAAACCTATGATGAAAAAAATTACTTTCATGGTGTCAAAACACTCTTTGTCCAGTATCTTCACGATATATAATCAAAACTTTCCGCAAATTCGCGGGAGACCGTCTTCTGGCAGCAAGAGAAAAATAGCGGAAAGACAGCCTGCTTGATCCTGACGAACTATGTAAACGGTCCGTGTTACATTTAACCCCGCGTTAGGTTGTGCCCCGCGCTCCCCTATCACTCACTGTGTTATGGAAATTTGCTTAAGCTTACATTGTTTACAAAGTTTTCTAATAAACTTTTCACGTCTCTTCGCTTGTGTTCATAACAGATGGCCCCTGCATCCCTGCGTCAAATCCCTGAGTCCCCTAATTAATAGTTTCCATAATGCAGTTTTACTTGTTATGTTGATGTGGTCCAAACACGGATCTACATTGGCAAACGGAAAGCACGTTTGAGAGCTCACAATGAGACATTCAACCACAACAATGCGGCCCCTTCACACAGCATGACCTTACAAAACCCAGCAAGCTACTATTGACATGGAAACCAACTGGCAAGCAAGTAAATAAAAACTCTGAAACAAGAAGAGAAACTACTGTAGCTGTGCTTACCCAGCTCAACATGTTCCTGCTTAATGCGAGACAGAGAAATGTGTATTCATGTCAGTACACTGAAAGTACATGTGACAACCTTGATTAAATGTTTTCATATTTGAGGGGAAAAAAAGAGGAAGATAAACGTTTAAATCTTTTTTTTAAGATAAAAGTCTGTATTTCAAACTAGCTTAAAGACCCTCGGTGTTGAAAAGCAAGCTTTTAATGTTGTTTATATTTCTATGTAGTGTGTTAAATGTGCTTTAAAGACCAACCATGTGCAAATTGATAAGTCAACACCATTGCTGAGTGTTTTCTCCATAAAACTGCAGTGAACCAAAGACAGACTCAAAAACGCGATCTGAAATCGCTGTTGTTTCTTTCGCCACAAACTACCTTGTAACCAATCATGTCAACGTGTAGGAAATAACAGTAGGAAATAAATGTAGGAAAGTCAACACAAGACAAAGAGAACACAAGACAGGAATCATGACAATAGGTTTATATTGGAAAATAATACTATTGTATAATAAATATAGGAAATAATCCTATTGTAGCCACCCTGGTTGCTTTTAAAATCCCTTTATAGAGCTTGCTGATCTCTGCTTAACTTCTATTGATCTCACCACTATTGAAAAGCTCGATGAAGTCCAGTGCATGCTTCAGTATCGTCCTCATGGACTCAAATACATTGCTTCTCAAAACCCCCTGTGGCTGAGGGCCCACCTCAAGACCTGCAATAGAAACACATCTATAAAAGTCAGTGGTTCTCAACCCAATAACCCAACAAAGGGTCACATGTCTATTCTGATAGGATAACAGACAGCAGTGTAAAACCATGTTAAATGAGGTGCAACTGTAACAGTAACACCTTACAAGAAGGATGCACTAATAAGCATTAATTCATGCTTAACTAATGCACAGATAATTATGAGTTTATTATTTATGAAGAACTAAACCATTCACTAATGATTCCCACATCAGACACAAATAAAGAGTCTATTTAATTAATAGAAAAAGTAATATATGAATTCCTATTAATTAAACATTTAATCATATATTATTCCTTAATGACATAAAGTATTAAGTATAAATGAATGTGTTAACCATAATGGGTCAAAGCCATGCATTTTAACTTCTAGTTGTCTGCTTTAATTAATCATTAGCTAATGATTTGCAAAGGATATCATGTTATGACTTTACTTAATGAGGCACATGACTATTAACTCATTATCAAGTAATATGGCACTAGGTTTATGAATTTTGACATCCCCATGTACAGAGGAAACTGCTTGTAACTCCTTGTTGTAAACTGCTTGATACTGAAATCCATGGCTTAGCGTGGATGTCAAAACCAAAATGACATATTACTTAATAATGAGTTAATAGTCATGTGCCTCAATGGGGTTTTTGGCTCAAAATGAGGCGGAGATGGTAAAATCATCACACTAGGGGGGTCCAGGGGCATGCCCCCCCGGGAGAAAATTTTGCACATTTTAAAGATAAATGCATTAATCTGGTGCACTCCGCACGTCATTATGGCTCAAAAAATTAGGTGGTAAAAAAAAATCCAGATCATGTCTACACATGAAAGCGTACCGCACCTTCAACTGGCTGAAAAAAAAAACACTTTTTACAAGCATGTTTTTTTTTTTAGGTATTTTAATAATCAGATAATTCGATTTTATTTACAGTTGGGTTGTAACATTCATTTAGGGAACCTTTTTTAAGAAATTGAACATACTTGGATGGAAAATAAACAATTTACCTGAATGTTCCCCAATTCACAAAAAGACAATGCTCTTTGACATTTCCTATTTATTTATTTTTACTTTTTTGTAAACTGCCTCTGCTATCACAGGGTTTGAGGCGACCGCCTCCGTCAAATTTCGGGCCGCTTCCGCCTCTCGACAAAACTCAAGTCAGGGAATCACATGATTAGATACCATGATTAGATATTCACTATTTTTTTTGTTTGTAAACTGCCTCTGCTATCAGTAACTGTAATGTGATTACTGATGAAATTATACTATAATTTTTACATTTTCATTGATGAAATAAAGTAAAAATTGTCTAAATTGACTATTGTGCCTACTAGGGGTGGAGCCGAATCCGAATACGGTATTCGGAAAGGTACAAATAATGTGTTTTTTACGAATACTTATTCCGAACAAATACTTAAAAAAATATTTGTATTCGGGAACAAGAAATACTTTATATCAAAAAGCTGCGGTCCTCACGAGACTGCAGTGCGCGAGTTGAGTGAGTGACGTTCAGGAAGAGTTGACTGACACAGGCTTCTCCACACAGCAACAGAGAGGGCTCGGCTGAGCGGAAAAAAACACTTAACTGCATCACTATTTTTGTTTAATAGATGTTTGTACCTTAACTATGTTCCAGTGGCAGTTTATAACTTTCGGGAAGCGGAGTTTGATCGGGAGTATATTCCATTATTGACGTCTGCAGACGGGTGCTCTCATGTTCGCTCTGTTTACGTAACGTTAGCTCTGTTAGCTCGGTAACGGTAATTATTTGTTTAATGGCTTGATTGAATTCCAATGTAGAGTGCGGTCTGTTATTTTAACAGGCCGCTGCTTATAAGTATAACACACCGTTGCTATGAAAAACAGAGCGTTGCCATGGATTCTAAACGTAGAGACAGAATGGACTATTTTTCTTTTTTTAGCGGGAGCGATACAATCGTTTTTTAAATCAATAAACTCCTTTTTATATCCATATTTTGAGTCAAATTATTGATTTATTTGGTAGGTAGCCATGTAATAAATGTAGAGCGAGGCGTAGTTATAGCGAAAACCCTTCAGGCTTCGCGTCGGGCTCATAATCAACCTCCTCGCTATAAATTATCCCTATAACTTATTCTGTCTGCACAGCGTCCTCCACCGTGGTGTTGGGGTTCATAATGTTCACAATTGTATTTTATTAGTGGTTGGTTTAACCATGGTTCATGAGGTAATGGCTGACTGTTATTTTCTTTTCAATGACTTTTCTTGTTACATGTTCATTGCTGGATTTATAGAAAAAATCAACCAATATTGCATATCCATAATTATTATAATGGATATAATTAAAGAATCCATACACTATAAAGTATTTTTAAAGATTTTTATGGCTATTTTGAATTTTACTCGAATACAAATACAAATACAAATACTTTTCCTCCCTGAACAAATACAAATACAAATAGCGGCTGCTTTGCACACCCCTAGTGCCTACAAATTCCACAAAAGTGGGTCTCAACAAATTCTGTTTTTCTGATGCGAGACGTTTATTTTGAACGATGTGCATAAAAAAGCGGTTCCCTGCTGAAAAATCCAGCTAAAGCCAGCCGAGGCTGGTTGGCTGGTCTTAGCTGGTTTAAACTGGAAGTAGCTGGTTTTAGTTGGTCACCCAGCCTGGCTTAGCGGGTCAAGCTGGTCTCCCAGCCTGGCTTAGCTGGTTTTCATCTGGTCTCCCACCCTGGCTTAGCTGGTCAAGCTGGTCTCTCAGCCTGGTCAAGTTGGTGGTCAGCTGGTCAAGCTGGTCTCCCAGCCTGGCTTAGCTGGTCAAGCTGGTCTCCCAACCTGGCTTAGCTGGTCTCCCAGCCTGGCTTAGATGGTCAAGCTGGTCTCCAAGCCTGGCCTAGCTGAGGAACATCTTACCTAATTTAAAATTAATCAGATTCCATAGTCCATATACAGATAAGGTTTAGGCATCATAGTTTGGCAGCCTAAATTATTAGGTGTTCAAGCACTTTAGTACTATCAAGCACTTTAGGAAACACGCTGTTTAATTATTCAGTGTTATGATAACCAGTGATGCGCAGGTCAATGTATAAACAACCCGCAACCGACCGACGTTTTCAACTACCCGCCCGCAACTCGGACCGCAAAAAAAAGTAAAAAAAATATTGTACCCGACCCGCTTCCTGACCGCATTTTTTAAAAGTAGTAAATGCTCATCGGAGCGTTATTGGGACATCTCGTGTAACAACACAGCATCGCAAGAAGAGGCCTACACATAACAATGGCAAAGCCAGCACTTTGGTCATCATCTTTCATTATTTCAGCAAATGTCTCCCACACTTTTACTCTTTCTATTTGTGTATTTGCGGAGCTTCCACTCCACAGTCTTCACCTTTTCTCTTGCCGCCTCCATCTCTCTGCTGTAGTGATCACATGGCCGGTTCGTCTACGAATCGTTCTTTTGAACCGGTTCTTTTTAGTGAACCGGTCGAACCAGTGCACTAAATAGAACTGAATCGTTCGAAACAGTTGGCGTCTTGCGTCAGCGCTGATCCACAAGTTACTAAGGTTACTCACTTTCAGTTTCAGACATGCCTGACAGTCCCTCCGAAACGAAATAAATCAATATCCCGAATTATATTTTACTCCAGTAACTCCAACAGTTCACTGAACCGAGACATGTTGGTGCCACTGTTGAGAGAAGTGATGAGCACGAGCAGCTGATACTGCGCATACTGCGTACTACCGAACGCACAGGGACAGCGGCAGTTTCGTGCCAGTTATTCAGCCAATAATGTGTAGGGCTGTAGGCTATATTTCATCAAAAATTGTGTCTAGTACTATATTAATACAAATGTTTAATTGGCATCTTTTTTTCAAACGACCCGACCGACCGCGACCCGAATATCATTAAAAACATTTTTGGATGACCCGTAACTGCGGGTAACCGCGGGTGACCGCAGGCACCCGCTCATTTCGGATCAACCCGCGCATCACTGATGATAACAGGTTAAACATCGATAAGACGCAAATAAAAATATTCTATATTTGTGATATTTAAACGGTCTATTATTAGTGAATATATTAAATATATTGTTCTTGTTTTATTATAAATTTTAACCAGTGCTAATTTAAATAAAATTAATGAAATTTAAATGGATGAATAAACAAACATGTTGCCCAATTGTTATTTTCTTTATTTGTCTTTATTTATTATATTTGCAAAAGACACAAATTAAAATAATATTTTATATTTGTGATATTTAAACTGTCTATTATTAATGAATATATTAAATGTATTGTTCCTGTTTTATTATAAACTTTAACCAGTGCTAATTTAAATAAAATTAATGAATTTAAATGGATGAATAAACAAACATGTTGCCCAATTGTTATTTTCTTTATTTTTCTTTATTTATTATATTTGCAATGAACGATTAGTTACCTTTACATCATTAAAAATTGTTGTCTCAACTGTACAGTTGAGACAAAGTTGAAACAAAAAGCACATTATTTTTATGAGCTTATTGTGGAAAATATAAACTATGGGTATTATTGATTGATAATAATATCTTAGTCTAAAAGCTAATGAAATGTCATGTGGAAATTAACTTCTTTTCAGTGTCTATTTTTGTGTGAAAAATCAAAACGCAAAAAGTGTCTCAGCTGTACTCAGTCTACCCATATATGCTGCGTGCCTTTGAAGTGTTTTAATGTGCATGTGCATGCGCGTGCGCGTAAACATTCGACTGGAGCGCGCGCAACAGCAGCAGATGGAAACGAGCAAACGTCATCAACTGACAAACAGCTAAACTAGCGTTCCCTATCGAGGGAACTCAACACTGCGTCGATAAAATCGACTCTTTGGGGACGCTCCCTAAGCGTGGCCCTCTGAAGTATGAATGAAACTAATCCAATCCTGATTGGTGTTGCATCGTGACGTAACATGTGATGGCATACCCGGAAGTACAAAAGTGACGCTGTCACAACACACACTAGCTT